CGGGGGTCAATGTGGAGGATGACACCTGTTCACGAGTATAAATGTTGGGGGGCTGGTCGACGTGGAGTGACGTCACGCGCGGGACACACAGACATTCTTCGCTCATTATAGTAGTAAATACCGCCCTGACAAGGGCTCAAACCTGATGATTAGCTTGCGAGACCGACCGGATGAAGTCTGAATGACACGTGATTTGCTTTTATAAAGCGGGGGCACATTACGCCCACTTACATGCCACCTATTTTACTCATACAAAGAATTCATTGCGCACTGAAGACCATGTCCGCGGCAACATGAAGCACTTGCCTCTGATTTTGCGCCTCGTAACGACAAGGAACCGCGCGTGTGCAGAGAGCGTTGCTTACAGCCGTGCTCCACAGCCAGCAGCCAACCCGAGTGCACTTAAACGTGCCCTGACTCGCACAGCTACACGGTCACTCACACCTGGTGCATTGCATCGATATAAACAGCCGAGCCAGCGGCCAAATTGGTGACATTGAGCGGAAAAGGGTCAGGGGGTCAGAGCAGCAGCAAGGGGTCAGCAAAATGGGGGCCAGAACTGCTCCTGAGAATCCAACCGCTCACATTTGCTGACCTAAAATAATGGACTCCACGCACGGTTCACATTGTTTGGGAGAATGCAATATAGAGCTCAGGATTAGGAACTCTTTTTCGAACGTCAGGGCCGATTGCCCCGGCTCGTAACAAATGAGGTATTGAGTGCCATTGCCATGGGCAGAGCAGAGCCTAGGCCCTGTTTTCCCGCACGCTCTTACACGGCAAATGGTATGCGGGGGGTGGGGGAGCACTCTACCCCCTCCTCCCTCCTATCTCTGGGTCCACCGGTCCACACACTGGGAAAATAACAAGAGATGGCAATCAATGACTGCGTGCGCCGTGGCCACAACAGGGCATTTTGCACGAACAAGGCCGGCCTGAATGTAATATTGTCATCATCTCCCACAATTGCTTGGCTCTGCGGGTGACTACATACGTAGACGCGCTCGCACACACACACACGTACACCTGCGCGCTCAAACATGGACATGCATGCATGTGCTCCAAAAAAAGACAAACGCAGAGATCCCCCCCCCACCCCTCCATGTATCCTTACAAATTGTTGGGGCAGGTGCTGTTAGTGTGAGCACTTATGAAGGCTGGACAGTAGCCTCCTATGCCCGGCCGTCTTTGTCTCCCCAATGTTGACTTTACACACCGTAAACAGGTACAGCGCTCATTTAAGGCTGGGTCGACCTAGCGGAGGCTCAGATATACACACTTGTAGCCATAGGTGGGAATCGAACTGGGGTCGACTAGTTCATAGCGCACTACCGCTGCACACAAAGACACGTACACACACACGTATGCACACACTCCTAAATGAAGACGCACGTACATGCACAAATCATCATTTGCACATAGACGCATGCACACACATTCACCGACAAATAAAAGCAGTGTTTTTTTTTAAGTATGTTCTGGTGGCATTGTAAGGGTTAAATATTTAACGTCCTATAAAGTATATACAGTATAGGTGAGCAGGAATTTGCTCCATATAGGCAATTTCATATCAACTTTCAATGATCGGGCAAAACAAGAGGCATTTTATTTCAGCGCTCGTTCAATGAAACTGATAACATGAATGAACCCCTGATGCACTGAAAATGTCTCTCTTAACAGCTGATTACTTCCAAATACGTATAGATTGTATCTCGAGGTAGGGTATAGCTATGTTGTATGCTGGAGGCAGGCTTAACCCACATTCGAATGGGTTTAGCAGCACTCCACGGGCGGCAAACTACTTGGTTTACTTAATGATACCAATCATTTATTTTACCCTGCCCTATGAATGATCATTCGGCCTCTGAGCTCTGTGTTTAGAAAATAATACTTTTTTCAGTTGTAAGTCTATGGATTCGTCTACGTGCCAAACTTAAGCTCCCTCGGTCTTCTAAAAATCATTAGAATTTACATTCGTCAATTATTCACAATCGTCTTGATGCATTCGATAGGACTAGTTGCCCTGTGGCTGCATTTGCGGCACTAAAAAGCTATGCTGCCTGACGAACATATTTGATTACTATATATGTGCTTTGGTCTGAAATCAAAAGGGAAGTTATTACATTCAGGCCCTGTGCCTTGCATTTTAGGCCCTGGCCATGCATTTTAGGCCCTGGGCCTTGTATTTTAGGCCCTGGGCCATGCCTTCTCGGCCCTGGGCTATGCATTTTAGGGCCTGGATCTCTTTTCCTTAAATGAATAAGGGAGTGGTGGGGACCACCACTCCCTTACTAAGGAGTAAGGGAGTGGTGAGGACCACTCCCTTACTCCTTAGGCCCCACTCCTTCCCGATGTAGGCCCCACCCCTCTTCTTTCGGTTCTGCAGCAGTTTCCTTTTTTGAGGATCCGTCCCCTTCTTCTTGAGGCTCCACCTCTTCCTGTTTAGGCCCGGGTCCCCTTCCCCCCCACACAGAGGGGTTGGGCTTCTTTGGTTTGCTGAAGTGGTGGTGGCATGCAAAATCAGCATTCGTAGTCTTCTTCTTTCGTATGGATTAATAGTAGCAGATTATAGATGCAATTTTAGATTTGTTATCCACTCAATTGTCTGTTCAGAAAGAGCGTGGATTTCGTCCATTCCTCCTTTAAAGCAGTGAAGACAGCAGTAGCAGCAGCGGAGTGGTTATGATGCGGTCAATGGTTTGGGATTCATGGCCGCACTCGAAGGCCACTGAATCTTTGGTGCGCCATTTGTGCATCAGGTGACCGCATTGGCCATGCCTGATCCTGATTCCAGATTCGGTTTATGGTAAACCATTAGTGGGCATGGAATGTTGAAACCGGGAGGTTCTATAGTAGGGTCCTGTATGAGATGTTGATTTTTGACGTCGGCCGCAGTCCAGACTTCGTAGCGGTGGGGGTAGTAGGCTGGAAAGTTTCACGACGACAACCAAAATCCCCCTTTTAGAGCAGCCATTTAACGGAAGATTGCAGCATGCTTCAGAAATACACCGTCAGCTAAGTTGAGTGATGGTTGGCCACTCTTGAGCAAAGATGCTAGAAATTCTACATTCTTGTGATTGGAACAAGCCCCTTCATAGAGCAGTCAGATGTAGACTTTCCTTAGGGATATGACTCGCTGGGGACCGGGTATATAGGAGGATATATGAAAAGGCATCTTCAAAAAACTAGAAACTGTAATTGGCACAGTCCGCTTTCATCGATTTCTTCGACAAAAAAAAACTTTTTCGGCCGTTTTGAAATAATTCCATCCTTGCAAAGCCCCTGGCTGCTGAGTGTGCATGGTCAGCTCATGCTGAAATTATTTGAAGGGCAAAAGCCCACTCGAGTATGAAGTGTCTTCCGTGATTACAGGCAATGTGCACTGACTGTCACACGCGGGGGGTACGTGCGACACTTATTGAAAGAGCACGGTTTGCGGCCAGTTTCCATATCTCTGTTCAAAGCTTGCGATGCTTGCCATTGATGCCAGCTTCAATGGCTGCTGCAGCGGGCGTCGTTATACAAGCACTTTGAATTAAGGTTGATGGATCACGCAAGAGATGGAGCCGATAGTGTCTGTGACCTCAGCTGTAGGGCAATAAGTTTGCGGTTGTGGGCAGTACACCAAGTGGGTCGATGACCTTACCTGTCCCAAATTTTACAGCTCTTCAGTCACATGCACAACATTCACCAAATTTGCCTCCTGAAAACTAGTCATGAGACTTGGTTACTAGTGCATCGGTAAAATAATAATAATTAAAAACTACATGAGCATATTCGTCATTGCTGCACCATTAAAACAGATTAAGAGTGGTACACCTTCACGGGTATCGAGGGCAGTTTGAGGAAGAGAACAACAAGTGTTAACTCTGTTGACCGCCACTTGTGTAAGTGCCTGGCGAAAATGCATTTAGTATCTGTTCAGGCTGCTGAATCCAACAGAGACAATGATCTGCGATGTTGTGAACATCTAAGTTAAAAGAGGGAAACTTGTTTAGATGTGAGACATTGCAAGAGCAGACGAGAGTTGATGTAGCATCTGAAACAACAAGTTTTCCTTCAGCCAAGGCATTGTTGCAGTCAATTTGTGTTCATGTTTTACCAACAAAGTCTGGATCATCCTCTGAATAAAGCCACTTTTCTCTGCACCCCTTTCGACCTCCTTCTCAATCTCTCGTTCAATTGCCTTCCCCTTTCTGCATTTTATCGTAAAGCTTTCCACTCGATCGTTTGCCATATTATGGTAAAACGGAGGGAAAAAAATATCACGTATATTGGCTTATTTTCCCAGAAGCAGCACTCACACTCAGCACTTAAATTAGTAAGGCACTTCTCCCCATTAAGGTTATTTGTCATTGCCAATGTAAAACCTACACACACATATATAAAGTGCCTACACTTTAGTGACGGCCAGGTTCAAACACGAATTGCCAGTGGTCGTGCGTTTGGTAAAGATGCAGCCCAGCTATTACTCATGCCTCTGCCGTCAGATGGGCTTCCAGTAGAGAGCTTGCGAGAGCTCTTCCACAGGGTGTTTCGGCCATGTCTAACACTGGCCAAAATGTTTATAATAGATGAGAGTGCCCACTAGTTACCCCACCACACATGACCCACTAATCAACTAATTGGTGGGCTCATTATACTACTGGGTAGACAGAGACAGAATGGGATTTAAGTAACTTGCACCATTGTTGAGAGATGGGAATGCAATGGCGACCGATAGTAGCAATATATGAGAAATTAGTAAATGATCGCTTGATGGTCAGTCGTGACTGGAATAAACCGGTAAGAGTCCATCAACACATGTGAGATGCAGGGGTTAAGTTGGCTCCCAGCTGGGATTTGAACTTACAATATTGCGATCACGAGTCAAGCTTGTTTTTCCAAGGGTGCTTATGCGGGATAAAATGGAGAATTATATTGAGCACATGCACGCTTGCCATCATTTGTTTGTGTTGTGGTTGTTACAATGGACAGAGTGAATGGTGCGGTTCACAAACTTGGAACATATGCTGGGTGGTTCCACTTGTTATCTTTGCAGCCATTAACCGAGCCCTGAACGAAGTTGGACACCTCGTTCATGTCCTGAAGGAGAGCACAAGGCGGCGGACAATCAGATGTACCCACAATGCAACGACCGCTTCACAGACACTTGCCTATGTATTGTGTGTACGGTGTGGAGATGGAGCGGCAGAATCATCTCCTAGAAAGGTGCCAGGTGGATTAATGGATTGCAGGAATGTGAGATATGGTGAGGTCTTGGAGAGGCCTTCGTCCAGCAGTGGATTGACCACGGCTGATGATTTGGCATTCTCCGCGGATTGTAATTCATTATTCTGTTACACGTTTTTGAATTGTGTTTCACAATATACTATATAATTACTACTTCGTACAGTTACAGAACAATTTAGAAAGTGTCAGAGTAGATACACTCTTTAAAAAATATGACCATGTCATACCTGCCAACCCCTTATCAGTGCCAACCTTATTACAGACCAATTCAGACCTTATTGGTCACCCCGTGCCCTTATAAATCTCAACGTTCATCCTACAAAGTCCCATCACAAGGGAGAAACATAAATACACTTTTTTTGCCTGTATTGAAACGGCTGAACACCATATGGGCCTGAAAACTAAATTTCCCTGTACAAAAATACGGATAAACCGTATAGGTTGACAGATATGCCATGCTTCTGAATGCAGCCCCAAGTTATATTGTGACAGTCATTGCATGATTATCACATTTTAGATTGTAATAGTCAGACAGTCATTATGTTTTCTACACAGTAGAGCATATGATTAATTAGCGGAAATTAGGTTTTACAGTATAACAAGATGCGTACATATATAGGTTTGGGTAAAAGGATAGCTAGACAATTCGCACACTTGCCAATGAGCCTGTTTGTGTAAAGTCAATGGATCAATTGCTGCTATAGTGGCACAGTTAGAGAGAATGCATTCTTATTATAACCTCTTATTCTTATTATAACCATTGCACACATAGGCCAACATACATATAACAATTTAACATTCCGTGCTATTATACATTATAATTATTAATCATTATTAAAAATCTTCTTCTTTCGAATGGCTGCTGATGTAGATGCAGAGCAGCAAGTACAATTTCACATTCAGGTGGTCAAGCCCAGATAACCGCATCAGGAGCAGCTGAGTAGTATATCGTAGTGATGTCTCCTTCGTATTTGTAGATCGGGCGTTGGGTTGTTAGACATTGTACGGTCTGTTCTGGATGACCACAGTCGCACACTGAAGAGTTTTATTATAATTATTATTAATTTCCCATTTGTGCATCTGCCATGAATGATTAAAATAATAATCACTGTCGTTTCTTTGAGATAGGTTCAGCAAGAACAATATAGAATGTAGTGGCAGACACGGGGGTTGGGATAGTGATAGATGTGTGAGTGTGTGGCTTTCTTCTTACGTCGACTAATGCTGCAAGAATGTGAGCCAAACGCTGTTAAAATGAAGACATTTCTCCCGTGGATTTCCACAATCCCCTTTGAGAAGGACAGAAATCTCTGCACACCTCCCCCGCCGCTCACTCCTAATCCCGATTCGCATTGCATTTGCCAGCCCAGGGCAGTGTTTGGGTCAATGTCTGTTTAACCTTTTCTCTGTGCTCCCGCACAAAATGCGGCCCACGAGCTGAATCGCAGCTGGAATCGAAAACAATGGTGATATCGTCTCTCGCTTCAAAAACATATATTCTGAAGCGGAAGATTTGTGCTGGATAGGTCACTTTTGCGAATGTGATTTGCAACGGTGATCATTACCCGTGTATCGATAGTTCAATGTTGATGTGCTGTTTTATTAAAGGACTACTCCTGTGCGGCGTTATCTTGGTGTGGTCTGGGACTGTGTTATTGTTGTTTTTGCTGCCTTGCCCAATATTTATAAATCGGACTTATATAATGTATGTAACGTATTTCTATTGAGTGACTTGCTTACTATGTTCTAAATGTTGCACTCCCATCGTTGTTTTTGTACTGTTTGCTGTTGTAACTCGCCGACCCGCCCATACTGGATATCTGTGAAAAAGAGCTTCATGGCTCATCGGATTCCTCCATTGGAAATCATGATCCGGATTTTTTTGGCCAATAGTTAAGAGCAATATGGGATTGGCATTCAAGGAATAATGGTACGTGTCCGAGAGGTCATGTACAGAGAACGTGGAATGATGAAATCAGTTCGGTGTGAAGCTGCTGGGTGGATTTCTGCATTGCGGGGTTGGGAGTGTTGGTGGTCACTTGAGTAGGGTTGGATAGAGACTGTGGCCGATGATGGTGAGAGGTCGCTTAGTGGCTGCACTTGGCAATGGATGCACACGTTGGAGAAGCAGAGGTATGTGTTCATATATAATAAAAGTCTTCAATGAAACTATAAACTATTTAAACTTATTTTTTTTTTACCAGGTAAGGCCCACCGAGCTATTTTTCTGACCTGGCTCTTTTTCTGACCTGGCCACAAATGATAGCTCAACGAAGTGGCTCATCATGTGGAAATGTGTGGTAGCCAAATACTCTAATTTTACTACTGTCTGCATATTTGCAATTGAGCTGGATAGCTCTCTGATGCGTTTTTGGGTTGGATTTTTCTCCAATAACGCAATATAATTCCCAATGCAACTCGCAAACACATCGGACAGTCTACGATAATTTGATATATTTTTTCCCAATTGTATTCCAAATGTGCTATTTGTGTCATGTTCTGAGATGAAATGTCCATGATCCATGTAGAACTCTCATAGAGCAGTGCATATCCTGTGTGTTAGACTGCAACCCATGGAAGCAGACATCACATATTCCTTCGTGTGGCCATATTTATCTGCATACCAGGAGGTGTCCATTTCCACATGCCTTGTTGCAGAGAATCGTCTTAGCAATTAATTTAATTTGCAAAGTTGGAATTTAGTCGAATTAAGTGGACTCTAAAATGGAATGATGATGACCTTCATTTTGGACAGACATTGGGGACCACACTGAAACCAGTACAGTAAAACCTTGGATTGCGAGTAACTTGGTCTGCGAGTGTTTTGCAATACGAGCCAAATTTTTTAATCAATATTAATTTTTAGAAACGAGCGAGGTCTTACAAGACGAGTTGTACGTATACGCTTTGTCTGCCGAGCGTCACGTGATCACAACTGATATACGAGTGCTTTGATATACGAGTGCTTTGGATTTCAAACACGTTTCCGGAACGAATTATGCTCGCAATCCAAGGTTTTACTGGAACTCGCTCTACTTTGTTTTTATCATGGAGGACAGCAACTCAGATTCAAACTCTAGACTATGTACTGTGCTAGCGAAGTGTACTGACCTCCCAGACACGTAAAAAAATTATTATCTGGAAGCACAGGAGATGTATTTCCATACAAACTCATAATGCGTTTCTGCGGCGCATTATGGGTAAAAGGATATGACGGCATGATGCTGTTCCGTCTCCACATATCCATAAGTCCATTTGGCCTATTGGCTTTTCCAAACCAATATTACCCATCAGCATTTGTTTAAGTAAACAAAACCCTGGACCGGTTTCCACCTTCTGGGTCTCATTAGGAGTGTAAGGTTTGTTCAATAAATGCTTCTGGGTCACACGGTGGCATTGGCAAGAGTACTCCCATCTAAATTAGGGGGACCGGTTCAGATAATCGTCACTGGTGTTGGCCGTGAGCGGGAATCAATCTCGGGTCGCTGTGTTCGTAGCGCAGCATGCTTACCGCTACACTACTGCATCATCATCATCAACACACACGCAAATACGTACACGTAAAACTCGTCATGCGTCGCTGTAGAGAATTATGGTTCAAATAGCATATGACCAGATCTCTGTGTCTGCACTTAAACCTCACATTCGCACAGTTGGCTACGTACGGTGCGAAAGAAGTTCAACATACGTGCAAATAAATGCAAATATTGTTACGTCTATTGGCCTCCGTATTGGCTTTCCAGATGTATTGAGGTGTGCATACACGCGCGCGTGTGTGTGTGTGTGAGAATGTGTGAGAAACTCACAATCCAAAAGCCGTCGTAGGGAACTTCGTTAAAAAACTGTTCACATTGCTCCACCCACCACCGCACGCAGATGGGGTTGGTGTAGTCTGGGAAGACAGTCAATCCTGGCCACACCTGGCAAGACAGCACCATTGACAGCAGCAGCATTATCATATACATCTTTGTCATCATCGTAACCACGATCCACCACCATAACCCGTAGCAGCAACAGCGGCAGCAGCATAGTAATCACCATTATCATTTTTATATTGTCAGCAATGATCTTTACAAAGACGGTCACTGCATCGCGCACTTTCAGAAGCGCTTCTATGGCCGTCTGGAACGCTCTTCCTTCCGATATTAGGTAACTACTGGAGGAGCTATGCACTTTTAAATCTAGATTAAAAACTCATTTGTTTAGAACTGATTTTTGCGCTTCGTTTTTTGCCCTTCCCCTGCACCTCGGATTTGCATAGTTGGCTAGGTACGGTGTGCAAGAAGTCCAACATACGAACATCTATCGACTGCTGGATGAAGGCCTCCCCAAGCCATGATCATCTCTCATGGTTTTCAGAATGCAAAAAATCCATCCAGCTCCTGCACATCAAGTCACTCCACGTCGTTCCATCTCCCCGGCGGACATCCTCCTGGGCACGTTCCCTCCTCTGGCTGCCAATCGATCGTTAGTCTTGACTAACGCCCATCATTTTTACTTGTTTAGTGACTATTTTTGTTGTTGCGATTTGCTAACCTTGCCTATACTTTGTACTCCTATCCTGTTTATGTATTGTTTGAATTTTTTTGTAACTTTCTGTGGCGACCCTCCTGGACATCTGTGAAAAAAAGAACTTCATAGCTCATCGGATTCCTCCAGTATAAAACGAAGATTCCGATTCTGATCATCCCTACTGGCAATACATCTCACCCTAGCCCGCTCACATTTCTAAACAGAAAATGATCCACGTGCTCCTCTCTCTGCCAATGCATTTCCAAGAACGGATCTCTCTCCACGCTTATTTGCAGACTCTTCAGCTTTTGTCCCATGCTCAATGTCACAGCGTCCACGTTTCTAATCCACTTGCCGTGGCAAGTAGTATGCGCCGAATAAACCTTACTCTTTAAGCAGATTGGAACGTTGCATTTAATGATTAAGGGGCCGTCCATAAATGACGTCACGCGATTTTGGACGGTTTTGACCGCCACCCCCTCGTCACACGGCGTCACAAAAAGTCAGACCCCCCCTCAAATATTACGTCACAAAGCTCTGCCCCCCCCAAAAAAAAATGCTATAAATCGCTTTATATTATTGTCATTGTAGTGTGTATTTAATGTGCCGCTGCACTCTGATGTTGTAGGAGAAAACATTTATCAAAAAGTATATTTAATTAAGTAGAACATGTCTATATTTATTTAAAATTGCGCATTTTTATGTGACGTCACATTTCTCAACCCCCCCCCCCCCTCGTCACACATCGTCACAAATGTCTGACCCCCTCCCCCCCCCCCCAGGTACGTGACGTCATTTATGTACGGCCCCTAAGGTTTTATAAAAGCACTCAAAACTTACTCCAGTCCACCACTTTCTTTCATCATTCTATTACTGGCCCAACTTTAATAACCACCCAAAATATACTCCCTCTCATACATTTCCCGTTTATGCCTCTCCTAACAGCAAACGCGTTCATGCCTCGCTCGTATTCATGCCGAGTCCCCACTATTGTGGCGAACTCTTTACGCGTGACTTTATTCACTTCTCGAATCGTTTACTGTGGTTTATTTCCATTGGTCGGTCAGAATCGTCTCCAAGGGTCAACGTTACTTCGGTGAAACGGTATTCATTCGTCACGTTTTCACATCGCTGATGGCAATTCAAAGCGACTAGCTGAAATACAACTCTAGATGATGCAAAAAATTATAATCCAACGATGCCGGGATATCTGAATTGCGAGGCCATGAGAAATGGCAATTGCTTCAGGAGGGCCTTCATTTTTTCCTCATACAGTACTTGTAAAACATTTGCATTACAAAACCTTTCACCCTGCAAAGTTTATTGCGTGTAGCAAATCACGAGCGGATAGAATCACACCCGGTATTCGCCACAGTGATGATGGACGGACACCCAGGGTGTGTGAAGAGCCATTGACCTGCATTGGAAAAAAGCCTCCCCGACTGATGTCCTTGTACCGATGAATGAGGCCTCATCAGGGTTAAAATTGCCATGATGGTTACACGACAGACATCCCAACTGGTACGGCAAAAAAGTGCTCAAGAAAATTTAGAAAAAGTTAAAGTAAGCATAAGAACAAGCCCACTTTCACCGAGATTCTGAAGGTACTTGTCAAATAAAGTCTAGAAGATGTACGGAATCCTGTGCAATGTCATATATCTAAGAACACTTGGAGGAAATTTTGCTTAAACATTCTGAAGGGATCATTTGTATGAAGTACTCTGTCAAAATTGAAAGCCTGGCTGAAACAAAAATGGAAAAAGCTGCCCACTGACCATCATTATTGAGGTTATTATTGAACACGCCATTCAGCACTCGCAACGGGCTGCTCTTGAAAGTATTGTTAAAAATAAATGTTCGCCCTCCCCATTGACTTTAATAGGCCCAGGGACGTCGTGGTGCTACATCAATTCGCGGGTTTTTTTCTTTGGACACGTGCACAAGCTGCAACGATCAGCCACTCGCGTGATTGCCCTGGATATTTGTTCCACGTGAAGAAGAGTGGGATGCTTCAAAGGCATTCAATAACAAGTTAGCAATAATCATCATTAGACCTCCTTTACCAGTACCAAAATATAATAATAGGGTTTTTTCCCCTTTTTTCTGGCAACAAAACTGAAACCTTTTTTACAATGATTCATGTCTGCATTAACCACAATACCTGCAGTCAAATACGAGGCTCAAAAGAAGGCCGTCCCTTAGTGTGGACCAATCAGTTTCAAGGACAATGCATATAGTATCAAAGTATGTTTTTTGTTTGCATTTTGACTGCAGGTATTGTGGTTAATGCAGACATGAATCCTTGTAAAAAGGTTTCAGTTTTGTTGCCAGAAAAAAGGGGAAAAAACCCTATTATTTTAAGTTAGCAATAACTTGTTATTGCATACAGTACTCTTCAGCCAATAAACACCTCAATGAATTAGTCTCCACTGATGGCTAAAGCAGCAACACTTGGTGAGGGCGATTTGAATTCATTGTTCCACGCCAACAGGTTGCAAGCCCAGTGAAAACCACTTTTGCAGATGAGGTCAGATGTGGGGGCAGGTGTGACGTAATTGGCACGATGACGCACGCCTGTGATCGCAGGGCTTTGGAGACTCAGCGATCATGAAGCGTGCAGATTTGTGTAGCTTCTCAGCCAGCGGTTCTTAACATTCACTGTGGCGTTGCACCCCTTTGGTTCTCAATCGTCAAAAGAAAATTAATAATGTTCATGTGAACAAAGTCGTTGTACCTACGTGCCCGTGCTTGTGTTTCGATGATTTACCTAATAAATAAAAATCTGCCATGTCCCGGACTGGTCCAATTTACAAACTCGCTACGCTGAAACTGGCAGTGAATTTCACTGAGTTCTTTGAGAGTGTTGTGGTTTAGCGAGGCTTTGTGTATTACTCACGTGGCATGGAGAGGCACTCATCCAGAAGTACACGTACGTGCATATTATTATTACTGTATTATTTTACTCCACTAACTTTAAAATTAACACCCTGTCATGTTCCATCTTTCTCCTGAAGTTTGTGATTTGCGAATTATCAACCATATTCATGCAGATACAATAGCAATAAAAATAAATGTAATTTCAGGAATTAAACTAGATTTCAGATGAAGAGGAAAATGTTGCAGATGCTAGAATAAGTCAACTCTGCTCCTTTGCATTATTATTAACAAAAAAATGGAAATATCCTGGACCAGTTTGAGAAACCTGTGAAGGTCATCCGAAAATAGTTGTCCTAATTGTAAGAACTAAATTAGTGAACCTATTTACGAAATGTTTACTCATAAAATAAATACCACAATGACAGAAATGTGCCCCAAGCATTCTTCTGGGTGATAAAACTGACTTGAAGAATTAAGGACTCATGAGCCTCTGATCGTAGGTGTTTTCACGAAAAAATGTAAACAGGGTAATAGGATATTTTTTAGCCCACCTAAGCATAAGAACAAACTCGGCGTTCGGATTGACTGCACGAATTTCCACTCTGTCAAGTGCCTTTTCATAGTTGACATAGGTTACAGACAATGGTGTTTGATATTTACTTGTCTTTTCCTAGGATCTGATCGACAGTGTGCATCTAAAGCAACATACCAAGGTGCCGAAAAAGGAACTATTTTAATATTGCATTACCTGGCATGACACGTGGATCAAAAATATGGACATTTGCGAAGAGAATGGAACAAGAGCTGAAGGGAGGGAGCAAAAGGAAGTGTGGCGAGGTGAAATTTACCGTCCATCCGATTAGCACCATTGGCTACATACGGTGGCGAAAGAAGTTCAACATACATACAGACCATACACAGCTAACCCGAATCTACACTATACACCAGTGGTCCGTATTAACCTGGCCTGCACGCTGCACCCCCAGGAGGTGCGAGATGACTTTTCTGGGGGGTGCGAGTCATGGCCATATTGTTTTAGAAGGTAAATAATCGAAAACACAAATTAAGCACGGGCACGTTAGCACAACTACTCTGTTTCATCAAACCTATGTATTTATTTACATGTTTTTTTTTTACGAATGAGAACCAAAGTGGTGCAAAGCTGCGGTAAAAGTTATGAACCACTGCTTCATAGGGTTATAATGATGCATGTAAAATGTACGTGCGAATTGTGGCTGGAAATGTTTGTTTCCTTTTCAAGAAGAAGCCTATCCTGTTCCCTTCCACTGCTCATACCGTTGGCCAGCTTTATCACACGTCATTGCAATGGTCCCCTGCACATTGCAATGAAGCATAACAACACACAATGCAGACTGATGAGTCAAGAACACAGGAACCAAATTGCATCCGGCGTCATTGTTAAAATGTTGCAGGACATTTTGCACTCAAAGCGTCACATGGTAGAAGGCCCACTCTGGAGATTTCCCTTGTGTGCACATATCATCAGTTACAACCCCTACATGGTTGCCTCTCATCGGCCACTACACTGCTGTGCTCAAACAACATTGAGGTCATGCATTCGGACCCAAAGAGACCAATCCAAAACATCCGCCAAATTGTTGAGCAAGGGGGGTCTGCTCTTGGGCTGAGCTCCGCCGAGTCACAAGGTCTGGAGACGGTGCCGACAATATTATCCTGACCTCTGGGATGCCACGTTAACGAGGGTCGGCGACAGCTCCGTATCTCACGGAGGGTCTCCCTTATCACTTGTCAAATTAAGGTGCCTATCGACCGTGAAGCAATCGCGGTAAAGGTCAGCCTCGCACCACGGCGCTTTCATGCCACGGCAGGCAGTGGACCTCTCTCGTTATATACGGTGGATTCCGACTTCACTCTTCCATGCCAGCCACATCTGTTCCTACAGAGAAAGAGGAGATCCGTGGTTTGATGGACAATGAGGCGGTTGCCTGCAAGGGGCAAGCAGGCCCGGGAGCTTCACTAAATATCTGCGTTGGGTTCGAGTGTTCTTCTCCCTCCTCTATCATGCTGAACACTCCTTGTTGCATACCGCATGAAGGGACGTGTACAAAATAACGAAAAACTTTAAACGTACTACTATTTTTATTTTACCAGGTCAGGTCCACTGAGCTATAAAGCTCTTTTTCTAAAGCGACCTGGTCACAATTTATCGCAGCCAAATACTCTCGGTGCATGTTTCTCAATGTGGAAGGGAAAAACAGAGGACCTGGAGAAAAATCCACACGACCACGGAGAGAACATGCAAACTCCAAATATACAATGCATGTCAGGGTCGGGATCGAACCCACGACTTCCTGTCTAACAAGCGAGATAGTTAACATCTCGCCACCGTGGCATCCCATCCACTTTTGGATGAGGGCACTCCCAAAGCGTGGTGGGCCATGAGGAATATTTGACCACATTTCACCATGCTGGTTAGTGTGGGTTGGTGAATGGGGTGGGGAGTTGCAAGAGTGGATTTTTCCGTGCTGCCCTCTACTGCCCACAACGCCTACTCCACCTGTCTCTCACGCATGGTGGTCACCCATGAACTGGCCCCTGCCATAGCAATGGCGAATTTCCACCACTCACTCAGGACCACGAACGGAGTCGACCACCAACAAGACGCCCATCTTTTTTGAGCAAGGAGACCCGCGGCGTTTTTTTTCTCACACTCCTTCCCCTTTTTTCCCCAAAAATTGCATTCCGACTCGCTCTGTTGGCGCGGAGCCAGGGGACGATCGGGGCCAGCTATCTCGACGCCGGTGCCCGACTCGCACGTGCGTGCGCATGAGGGAGGCACGCGCGTGCGAGCCCGCGTCTGCGCGGAGTCGCTGGGCCGCAGCCACGCTCGGCTCGCTCACCTCCCCCACCAGGGGCGTGCTGCCGTCGGACTCGTTGACCCAGGCGCCGCGCTCCGTGCCCGTCACGTACGGGATGTAGTCGCTGCCGTTTCGCCGGCGGGAGGTGCCGATTGCTGGGTCCTGGGTGAAAGGTAAAGAGGGCGAGAGATTGTCAGCAGTGAGAACGGCGATCTCGTCGTATTGGTGCGCTTGCTTTACCGTGGAAGAGTATTTTACCGAGTCTCCAGGCTCTTTTGAATAAGGAGGGCCCATTCGTTGTTGTTGTTGTTGTTTTTTCTTCAATGAACCGCACGAACGGATAGCCTCATAGAGGACAAAAGACACGTTCTTTAAACGAACGCGTGTTACAGAAAATTTGAAACAGTACGCTGGTGTGATGTATGTCGCGTATGTATGTTGAACTTCTTTCGCATCGTACATAGCCAACCGCGCTAATCGGAGGTGCAGGGAAAGGACGGCAAACTCAACGCAAAAAGCAGTTCTAAAGAAACGAGTTTTCAATCTAGATTAAAATAAGAATGCGGGGAATGTTCTACAAGCAAGGATTACTGCGGAGGAAAGTGGCGTATGCTTGAGATACACGAAGAGGGTCACAGTCAGAGATATGACAAAGGTGTAAGAGAACGTGAAAGGAGAGCGGAGAAGAGGAATGAAATGGATCAGCTGCTGTGACAATCTGATCAGTTGGATGGGACTCAGTTGCATGAGAGACAATGGAAATTGCAAAACATTGAAAGGATCTGTCACATCCATCAGTCATGACAGATCGACGTCAAGGCTGGTATGGCACACAAGGGCACATCATGGCCAGCATCACACCTCGCTGTTTTTATACACCGCATTAGATTTTGATTTAAAGCTTTCGTGACTGCAGGGATTCATATTCTTGGTTCTTTCGGTAAAGTCACGTAGAAGGAAAACAATAAAATAAAAATAAAAAACCGCCACTTTTTTAAATTTTCTTGCTGTGGTTTTCACACCTTATTATGATTGCTTGTGTTGCAGTCGAAACGTCGTGAGAATTTTATTGTTTTATATTTTTATTATTTTATTGTTTCCCTTCTACGTGACTTGACCGAAAGAACCAAGAATATAAACACCGCATTAGGTTGAGTGAATCCTGAGGAGACTTGGGGAAGGTTCTGGTCATTATTACAGAAGAGATAATAATACCATCTATTGTCATTTGTTTACCGAAGGAACATAGTTCGTCGTGTTACCATGATCTGTCACTTGGGTGGGTGTCTCAAACATATCAATGCTGAATATTCGCCTGTGTAAACAAAGTACATCGATCAAATCCGCCAGTTTAGTAGGTCTCCTCTTGAAGAGTGATATAATCATTTTAAATGGGGCTTTCACTTGACGAGATCAATTGATAAAAGCAATCGGGGAGTCATGGCTGATCGTTAGCAAATTAATACAAACAGACACAAGAGAGAGAGAGAGCGAGCGAGTGCACTGACACCGATTTCCGCGGCTAGTGATCGGAATCCAGAAGAAATAAACTTGGAATTGATTTCACGCCCAGTTTTCGGCCGAGGATAGTGGCATCTCCCACAAAACCTGACAAACCGATGCGAGGCTACGCTGTGCTCCGTGTCTCATAAAGCGTGAAATGGAACGACGGACGATATGCACCCCCGCAACCCACGACTCCAAAATCCCGTGACGTTCCCTGGTTTGGGATACTCATCCATTGCTCCTGTGCTCATCCGTTCATGGCTTTCGATTATGAAGACGATGGCTTTAAACAGCGCAGTTTTATTCTCCTAGCAGTCAACCCCACCCCTACTGTATGCAGGGCTGGGTGAAAGCAGGACCTTTTGGGTCCCTAGCGCGGGACCTTAGACTTAAAGGGGACCCAAAAAATATATATATAGTGCTTCATAATGGCTGAACTGCAATTATGCAGCACTAAGAGCGTCGTTTGATAAATATAATTAAAGCCAAAAGCATCGCTGTGCATATGTGCTACGAGTTACTTTCCACAATAATACGATTTTTTTGTTTCATTACAATACGTATTTAGTGTTTATATATTTCAGTTAATATCTAGTACTGAAATAACCAAGGAAAATCATAATCGAGTAGTTGGCATTGAGCATTGGCAGTGGTAAAGGTCCCGAACCGAAACATATAACAGCATAGCGGCACCCCCCCCCCCCCCCCATCAAACCTAATCTGGCCCTGCCTCTATGCCCTCACTGCATGGTTGCGTACGCCTGCAGTGTTACGCTGTGAACACAGGGTCCTGCAAAGGTCAGGCTATGTTGTGAGACACCCCCCCACCACCAACCAGCAGGGTTGTAAGGTTGCCAGGATTTGGCAGTCAACTGAATGTCTCTCTTACCAAGCTGTGTGGACATTTGCATGCCAAATGCCTTGCACTCATAGGTAACTCCACTTTCCCCGTCTACGCCAGTTGTTTTGCTCACAACATACAAATATAAACTGGCCAAACATCCTCCTAAAGCACGGTTCTCTTTAAAAAAGAGGCTTGAGACTAATTGAGGATTTTCTGCATAAATACATTAAATATATATTTTTGTAAACAATCCTCTTCAGATTTAAAAGCAATATTTTCATCTGTCTTGTACAAGGCAGTAATTTCCCAAGTAGCATAGACAGCTGATGTGCTCTTTGCACAGCAATGAACATACCAGGGTCTTGAAGAGGGCTTTTAGAGGCAGATTAAATTTTAGCATTGTAAAATTAGTGATGGTTAGGTTTAGCCAATTGCCACAGAGTACCCAATTTGATTAACACGCGACAAGATCACTGAAATAATAGTGTTTTTCCCCTTTTTACAAGGATTCATGTCTGCATTAACCACAATACCTGCAGTTAAAATGCAAACAAAAACATACTATGATAATATATGCATTGTCCTTGAAACTGATTGGTCCACACCAAGGGACGGCTATCTTTTGAGCCTCGACCCAATTGGTGCTCGACCAGATGACGCCAAAAGGCGTACAACTGATGAAGATCACTGGAATTAAGGTAAAAATACTACTCGCCAATTGTACTTGCTAACGGCACCATTTCTGAATAATTGTACTGCTACGTTTGTGCGTTTGAAGTTAGAGATGATTGGGAGCTGGATTTACTGTGTACACAGAAGCTGTTGCACTTCCCGGTACATCGGTGAGATGAGTTCACAGGGCTTAATTTCAGACTCTTATGTTTTCCGGAACGCTCTTGCGTGACATGAGGTCACATGTGTGACATTGTTTAACGTCACAGACATTGGTGCGCCCCTTTGTTGAAGACAACGAAGGCGGTGTAATCACAGCGGTACACTCTGTTTGGAACACTTCAGTGTAAAAAAAAATGGTCATCGTCTTTACATCAACATCACCCACGCAAAGAAGAAGGACAAGGAGAAGAAGAAAACATTCGTCAATGACCGGTAGCAAGTAGATCTCTGCACAATTATGGCAAAAGCGCCACAGTGATGCCAGATGTAATTGCCAGCGAAATGTCACGGTGCTCAAATTGTAAAATGTCGAGGGTTTATTCTCCCACACACTCGAAGTAGTAACTAATAGGTGCACGTTTTGTTGTTTACGTGACAAAACTTTAATTGGTTGGCTGTGTCGGGTGGTGGCGGGTTAACGACGCATTCTTATTCACGCGATCAAAATAAAACCTTCATTGTGAATATTGGTCGCGAAAGCCGACATGTCAAACATTCATCAATAACACTGTGGCCTGAAAACCGAAAAACGTAAGAGGCGACGTTTCGGGCAACAGCCCTTCATAGCACGTTAAGATAGTTTAGCTGAGGGACGAGGACGTTAAATGCAAGTAACCCCAAGCACTATTCACCAACACATACACCACATGGACGATATGAAGTGAGGCGGATGTGGCGTGCCAAAGTAATTCCAGGAACTGTGCTGCGGACTGTTGCTGCTGAAATTAATCACCGTGAGGATTGCGAGTGAATGTGAATTCGTGCTTAAATGCACCCATCACGAAAAAAAATACAAATAAACCATAACTTTCCAGGCCAGCGTTCACCTGTCTTCCTTTTTTGATAACTGGCTCGCATTTCTAATTATTAGACAAACACATGCCGGACGTGAATTTGGTCGACTCGGTTCAGCCAAGGAGGTGATTGATTTTTAAGCGAAGGCCTCTGGTCTCATCAGAAACATTCGGCGGGTAACATTAATTAATTTCCAGCCAGGCAATTGGCCAGCAGTTGCTGCTCCACTCTTTACATTTCCCAACGAATGAAAATCAAACCAATAAACCTGCACGTGCGTGTCCGTGAGCGGAACTCAGAAACGTGAGGCGAAGTACACAGGCCAACGCAGATTGGGGTCACAAGTGCCAACACGCTTGCTAAATCCAGCAGCTTGGCAGAAAAAAACCCGGCGGTGGTACAAACCAATTTCTTAACTTCATCGGTTTGCTTCGCTCCAATTCCCCCCCCCCCCCACCCACTGCCGCACAACACGAAATAAAGGTGAAGGTAGATGAAGATTTGGCATATTTCCACGGGGACACACCAAAGTCTCGGGTAGGTACATCTGTCCACCGGGGGCCTTGCAAACGCCTTATCCCAGGAACGTTCAGCTTTCACACATCCAGAGAAGCCATCTCACGGTAGAGCTGCTGCAAATCGAATAAGGGAAAGCAAGCTGATGGTGGGGTCTGGTTTCGTGAAATTGGCCAAGTGCCCTCTGAGTTCATGATTTAGGATGCAGAAGGATTGGGGGCATGCAAAAGACGGTAAGTAGACCATCAGCAACGTCGACTTCACCTCCCTGTCTTCATTTTGTACACGGGAGTATACAGTAAATACCTCATCAATGTCTACGATTTGACAATTTACCATGACGTGGGGCTGATTTAATGCAAGAATGTATTCTTTTGTTTTCATTTTTTTACTGTCCTTTCCCCTATTCGTCTCATATGTTCGAGTCTGTTTTTTATCGCCCTTAATCATTCCATTAGCCTAAAGGTAAATTATATTTATTTGCATATTACATGGGTATTGTAAATGGATTTTTAGATTCACAATTAGATGCACAAATTATGGGCATGATAATGTATTTACATAACTTAATGGTTGTAGAAGTGTTATTTTTTACCGGTTCTCGGTT